AACGTGAAATTTTATTGGTTTTTAGAAACAAGTTACTTATCCCCTGAAAACATGTTACAAAAGCCATTTGAGAAGTGGTTATTTTCACTATAAAAGTTGTAAATCTCACTGTGTGTTTTGTAAAATTCAGTGTGAAATTTATTGGTTTTTAGAAACAAGTTGCTCATCCCCTGAAAAGATGTTGCAAAACCCATTTAAGAAGTGATCATTTTCACTAAGAAAGTTGTAAATCTCACTACATGTTTTGTAAAATTCAGTATAGAATTTTATTGGTTTTTATAAACAAGTTGCCAATCCCTTGAAAACATGTTGCAAAACCATTGAAGAAGTGATCATTTTCACTATGAAAGTTGTAAATCTCACTATGTGTTTTGTCAAATTCAGCGTGAAATTTTATTGATTTTTAGAAACAAGTTACTCATCCCCTGAAAAGAAGTTGCAAAATTCATTTAAGAAGTGGTAATTTTCACTACAAAAGTTGTAAATATCACTCTATGTTTTGTAAAATTCAGCATAGAATTTTATTGGTTTTTAGAAACAAGTTGCCAATCCCTTGAAAACATGTTACAAAACCCATTGAAGAAGTGATCATTTTCACTACGAAAGTTGTAAATCTCACTATGTGTTTTGTCAAATTTAGTATGAAATTTTATTAGTTTTTAGAAACAAGCTGCCCATCTCCTGAAAACAAGTTGCAAAACCCATTGAATAAGTGGTCATTTTTACTATGGAAGTTGTAAATCCCACTATACGTTTTGTCAAATTTAGCGTGAAATTTTATTAGTTTTTACAAACAAATTGTTTATCTCCTGAAAACGGGTTGCAAAACCCACTAACAAAGTAGTCACTTTCACTACAAAAGTTGTAAATCACAATATGTATTTTGTAAAATTCATAATTAACTACATGTATAGTGAAATTTACCACTCACGTAATGAGATTTACCAAAAACCAGCAGGCATATGACAGCAGTTACGTTACGTAATTGCTTGCCATTGTTTTCTTATTTTCGTTTCATCTTTCCCATAGGTTCATCTTTCCCACAGCTTCACATTCTCTGAAAATGGTTTTATGCGAAAAACAGAGACAGAACCAAAATTTTTTAGAGAAATGCTAGGCAATAACATTTTAAGATGTGGGAACCCATCGAAAATCAGCGTCTTCCTCTCTCCTTTCTCTCACTTTCAGACAGGGCATTTTGGTCTTTTGGCCAAAAATCTGAATTCCAGATTGGTACCCAGTCCCTTATATGTCATTTTGCTTATTCAGGTGCCTTATTTGTCTTTTTGAAATTCAGGTGGTATTTTGTTGTCATTTTTCCTAATTTTTTTGTGGGCTGGAGTTTTCTGCGTATTTTTTATTGTACAAAATGATTTTTAAAAGTAGCTAAATATTGCTAGGGCAAATTTTTGTTTTCTAAAAACTCTGTTGACCTGTAAAAGTGGAATCCAAGTTAAAAACTAGTTTGATATTCAATTTATTCTTAAATATAATATAATAATCTATTTTTTTATATTTATTTATTTTTTCTCAAGCTAATCCTTATAATAGTTATAAATATTAAAGATTTCATCAAATAATAGTTCTAACAAATACATGATTAGTAATGATATTTTAAGAAAGACAACACCTATTTATCACAAATAACTAATTTAAATAATTTTCTTAATTTATTCAAATTAATCAATTAGTTTTTATATTAGTGGTCAAAGATAGTATTATGAATTAAAAGAAAATACAATACTCCTTCTTGTCCATAATATAAGCCATTTCTAAAAGAATAGTTTGATCCAAAATATAAGTTCCTTAGAGAGTAATTAATACTTATTGATTAATTTTGTTTTTGTAATTATTAATACTTAAATATAACTCTTTATATTTTTCTCTCTCCTTCACAATCTCATTTAATATGTGTAAAGTTAGAAAAAAATTCAATTTATGACAGATAAGTTAACTACCATTTTTTTTAATACCAATAAATTAGTTAAGATGACTTATATTATGAACCGCAAAAAATAATCCATTTGATAGCGCAAAATCTGAGCCTAAAAAATGGAACTGGGGATTTTGCTAGCTTGGTTAATTCTTTGTGGAATTGGAGATGACACTGAAGAAGTACAAATCAAAAGTTGTTAGTTTTAAAAACTAATTGACTTTTTAGAAAATGCAAGGTGGGCGCCATAACACAAAACAAGTCACACATAAAAGTGAAAAATAGGATAAACATTACAGGGGAAAAGATCATGAGGGAAAATTTTGATTTTTGGATTAAAACGTAAATATACCTATAACACATCATGCTATGCACACTTGACATCATAAAATTTTATAAGGTGCAAAAATATACAAAGATATTCTAAAATGATGTAAAAATATCATGACTATTAAACTAATCAACATTGGCCATTTAACAAACACGTCAACAACAAAAAAATTGCGTAAAAAGAGGCATGAATGTTTTAAAATATTGCAAATTTGTCATGACTGGAAATGAGATAGCATTAACTATTTAGCAAACACTCCTGATACACATTGTGCAATCTCTTCACTCACAGTAGCCCAGTAGCCCTATTCGCTACTACAAGTCTTCTGCAAAACATGATAGTTGCCCCTTTTAAAGAGTATTTGGATAGAAACAAGATCATAATTTTAAAAGTGTTTTTATAATGTACGAAGTATATATGTAGAAAAATTTGTCCCTATTAATAGAAAAGTGCTTTTGAAAGTACTTTTTTCACTAATTGAAACATCCGGTGTGAATTAAAAGTGTCATTGTTATGAATTAGCCTTGTGCCGGAGCGAAGCAAACATGTTATGCAATGTGTGTGACGACTGTTTGCTGAACAATTAACACTGGTTGACTAAGCTACATGCATCCATTTATTTCCTCTTTAAAGTTTTATATTTAGGAGTGGAAACACATTCCCTAAATTTTAGATAGGATAAAGCTAGATGTGATGCCCGCATCTTTTTCAAATAAATATTGCTGTTATTTAAAACGAGTCATATTTGTATTTTATCTTTTACATCGTAATATGAATTATGAAGAGTGAAAATATTTTCTCTCAAATTTTTCTTTCGTCTTCTCTTCATTTTCTTTCCTTCATTTTTATCCGCTTTATCCAAACGAGGCATTAGTGACGGAGGGCATAAAGAGTGGGCAAAATATCTGGTTGACTTTGATATCCAATATTTACTAATTAAGTCGAGATCAGAACAAACTTGATAATTATGTATTGTTTTGCATATAATTAAGTTAACAAGTAAGTTTAAACTATTAAATAAAATTAAAATATTTAATTCTTAAAGACTTTCATGACAATAATATGGTTATTGTGTTACTTATAGTGTATCGAGGGAAACAGTCTCATAATATCAATTGATGTTCTTGAAAAATTAAAAGGAATAATTAATCCATAGTTCTTTATAGTTTCAACTAATTTTGAATCAGGTTCTTATAGTTTTTTTTCTTTTTATCAGGTCCTTATACTTTCACCTATTTTTAATTAGGTCTTGTATTTTTTTTTTTATCAAGTCCTTATAAGTTACCTTATTTTTAATTAAGTCCCTGAATTTTTTATTCTTTATTTTATAAATTCTAATAGTACTATTATATAAACATAAAATAGTATATATTATTTAATATTAGTTTATAAACAATAATATTCAAAAGATATTGAATTATTATAATGATTTTAATTTTTCAGCAAAAAAATTAATTGTTCTAAAAAATTTTCCTGAATTAATTAATTCTATTACTTTTTTATTACATAATTATTAATTTAATTTAATTATTAATATTTTATATTTCAGTATTAATCTATTTAATTAAGCTTATATTTAATTAATAAATAAAAATTAAAACTACATGGACCTGATTAAAAATTTAGTGAAATTATAAGGACTTAATTAAAAGAAAAATAAATACAATGACCTAATTAAAAAAAGGTAAAAGTATAAGGACCTGATAAAAAGAAAAAAACTATAGGGACTTAATTCAAAATTCGTTGAAACTATAAGAACTTGCGGATTAATTAACCCAAATTAAAATAATATGAAACAATACACGTATTTGGCATGAATAAGATTTAAATGGGACTTGGACCTGGTAAAAAAAAAAAAAAAAGGTATGACCATGCTGCTCTGTGAGATAAGCATATAAGGTGAATCTGACATCGTAAGATGTTAAAAAAAAAATTAATTTTTTTGTCTTTATAATTTTGACATGCTCAGCATAATTCAATCTCTATTTATGATTTTGACCCAGTTGTAACTCAATTCTTAAATTTTGATTTACTGCAACTTGATTCCCATGGTTTTATCTATTTTATAATTTAATCCTCATGTACTAAAAAAATAAAAGACTAAAATATAATTTTGGTCCTTTAATTTTACATAGTGTTTTATTTTTATTCTTTAACTTTAAAAAGTAAACTATTAGTCCTCTTTCCTAAAACTATTAACAAAAAATAACGATAGTGAACTCTTGAATGTTGATAAAACATTACTAAATGCTAAAATATTAAGTTTAACTTTTAAAACAACCACTTTTGTTACAAAATTCATCATTTAAAATTAACAATTTTAAAGTTAAAGACCTAAAGTATACTTTTTAAAGTTAAAAGACTACGTTGAAACCTTACATAAAATTAAACGATTAAATGTATGCTATAGCCAAAATAAAATTATATATATAATAAAAAGAGAGACTAAATTATCAAATGGGTAAAACTGTGAAGGTTGAGTTGTAACGAGTTAAATTTTAGGAGCTAAGTTATAATTAAATTAAAATGATAAGAACTGAGTTATAGCAAGTTAAAGTGTAAGGACTGACTTATAAGCGAAATAAAACTATAGAGATCTGAAAATTAATTATCCCAAAACTTAAAGCAGCAGGCCAAGCATTGTTACTCTTCGGTGTTATTCCTAGGTTGTCCCCCGCTATTTGTGTGCGTGCGTGTGTGCGTGTTTTTCCCCCCCCAATCTCTACGTCAAAGGGAAACAAGCAGGTCTCATGGCCGTCGCCGATCTCTTGCTTTCCAGATAGCCTGCTCTTTTCACTTATTCCCTCCATTATTTCGCTCCAACAATATCTCCGACAAGACTTGTTTAACTGCTTAGATTTAACCAGACCAGATAAAATGCACAGCACCAGGAAGGAGAAATACACTATGTGAATGCCAATAGTTCGTGGCAAGAAAGTTGATGCGGCTTTCTCCTTCGTCTAGTGAGTTCTTCAAGGAGCTCCTCCAGTACACTCAGCTGAAACACCTCCATAAAGGTCGAGCTTTGCATGCTCGCATCATCAAAAGCGTTTCGCCTTCTTGTATTTTCCTCGAAAATAGCCTCGTCAATTTCTATGCCAAGTGTGGTCACCTTCCGAAGGCCAAGGTTGTTTTCGACAACATCCGTGACAAGGATGTCGTCTCGTGGAATTGCCTCATCAATGGGTACTCTCAACAGGGACCCTCTGGCTCTTCCTTCGTCATGGAACTCTTTCGGTGTATGATTGCAGAGAATACCTCCCCCAACGCCCACACTTTCTCTGGTGTCTTTACTGCGGCCTCCAATTTGCCTGACATTTCTGGTGGCCGGCAAGCGCACACGGTCGCTATCAAAACGGCAAGCTTTTATGATGTTTTTGTCGGGAGTTCGCTTCTTAATATGTATTGCAAAACGCGTTTTGTTGACGAAGCTCGTAAGTTGTTTGATAGAATGCCTGAAAGGAACCCAGTTTCTTGGGCTACAATGATTTCTGGGTATGCTACGCAAGAGATGGCTGAAGAGGCTCTGGAGCTTTTTGAATGCATGCGTTGTGAAACAGAGGGCGAGAACGAGTTCGTGATTACTAGTGCCCTAAGTGCTCTGACAATTCCTGAACTTGTGGACACGGGTAGGCAGATTCATTCTCTCGCCGCTAAGAACGGGCTGTTGTCAATTACCTCTGTGGGAAATGCTCTTGTAACGATGTATGCTAAATGTGGGAGCTTGGATGATGCACTCAAGACATTTTACTTGTCTGGGAATAAAAATTCGATCACATGGTCGGCAATGATTACTGGTTATGCACAAAGAGGGGATTCAGATAAGGCGGTGAAGTTGTTTCATAATATGCATCTCTCCGGAGTCGTGCCTAGTGAATTTACTCTTGTCGGGGTTATCAACGCTTGCAGTGATCTTGGTACTCTTGTAGAAGGAAAGCAGATGCATGGTTATGCGTTGAGGTTAGGTTATGAATCACACATGTATGTTTTGACAGCTTTAGTGGACATGTATGCAAAATGTGGCAGCATAGCCGATGCTCGCAAGGGCTTTGATTATCTACGGCAACCTGACATTGTTCTCTGGACTTCTATCATAACAGGGTATGCACAGAATGGGGATAGTGAAGGTGCTTTGAATCTGTACGGCAAAATGCAAATGGAAGGAATCATTCCCAATGAACTTACTATGGCAAGTGTCCTAAAAGCCTGTTCTAGCCTAGCTGCTTTAGATCAGGGAATGCAAATTCATGGGCGGATTGTAAAGTATGGTTTCAGCTTGGAAATCCCAATTGGAAGTGCTCTTTCTGCCATGTATGCAAAATGTGGAAGTATGGATGAAGGGTACCGTGTTTTTCGTAGGATGCCTACTAGGGATGTAATTTCATGGAATGCAATGATATCTGGACTTTCTCAAAATGGTTATGGCAGTGAAGCCTTGGAGTTGTTTGAGGAGATGCGGTTGGAGGGCACAAAACCAGACCATGTCACATTTGTGAATCTTCTCTCTGCTTGTAGTCATATGGGACTAGTGGAGCATGGTTGGAATTATTTCAAGATGATGTATGATGAATTCAGCATTGTTCCCACAGTCGAGCATTATGCATGCATGGTTGATATCTTGAGCCGTGCTGGTAAACTGAATGAGGCAAAAGAGTTCATTGAATCAGCAAAGATTGATCATGGTTTTTGTTTGTGGCGCATATTACTGGGGGCCTGCAAGAACTATCGTAAGTATGATCTCGGTGCCTATGCTGGAGAAAAACTAATGGAGTTGGGCTCGCCTGAATCATCCGCATATGTTTTGTTATCAAGTATTTATACAGCCTTGGGCAAGTGGGAAGATGTAGAGCGTGTAAGACGGATGATGAAAGCCCGAGGGGTGACTAAAGAGCCTGGTTGTAGCTGGATTGAGTTAAAGAGTTTAGTTCATGTGTTTGTTGTTGGGGACCAAATGCATCCACAAATTGATGAGATACGATCAGGGTTACGTTTATTGACCAAATTGATGAAAGACGAAGGATATCAACCTTGTCTGGATCCATTGCCTGTCAGTGCTAGCGATGATTTGGAAGGTATTATGTATGAATGTTTCAATTTTTTGGTTCTCAGCTTTTCTAATAATCAATCAAATAATTTTTATTCTGTTGGATGAACCTTAGAAGTACAATCTCTTAAAGAAGAGATGACTTTATTTATGATTGAGAATGAACTCTTGTTCTTAAAATATATCAGTTGTCCTGTTAAGTGAGGCTGTTCCTCTCTCTTCTTTGTTCAGTTGATTATTTCTTCTTCTTCTCCTTCTTTTCTTCTCAGTGACTGTATTGAAACAAATGCATTGTATTTATGGACATGCATCTTGTTGCCTTTAGGCTTGTCGGTACCATTTGTTTGGCTTTTTTTAAGGAGATATACTGCTTGACTGAAATGTTCTCTTATATCTTAAGAAATACTACTATATATTTCCTTTTGTATTCACTAGCATGTTTTTTTTTTGGGTTTATGAAGATCAAGAAGGCAGCCTAGGCGTACGAATGGCAGGTTTTGTGGCTAGGAACAACATTGGGAAAGATTATATGCTCATGCAAAATGTAAGATTATTTTTCTATGACCCTTTGTATCAATTCATTGATGAACATTATTGTGAGCAGGTGGTTTTTCAAAATACTTTTCACGAAGATGATGTTTTTTTGTATCTATTTTTCTTTTATCTTCAATAGGATCTATACTACAATTGATTTCTCTTCCTCTCAGGCATAGAAATTGATTTCTTCACGTTAAAGAGTAGATGTCACCAAGCTCACTCCACTTGAAGCATTTAGAAATTGTCTTTTCTATGCCATTCTACCTCATTTGGTAACTTGTATTTCTCTTCTCCTTTTGTGAATCACTCAACTTATGAATGATATATTCCTTTTCAGGATCTTCTCTCTCTCGCTTAGTGCTTTGGACTTTGTAGTATTGAAGTTTTACTGGGACGGTGGGCTATAAATACAGAGGCCAACCAAACTAAGAAATTCTTCAATATACGTGGTTTCTGAAAATTTTGCAGATCAAAGCGCTTATAGATAGACACTGAGCATATCTTGGGCCCTCTGTGACTTCCTTAGATGTCTATCTATTATAGTCTTAGGTCATTTACTCTCATAAACTGGGCCTACTCAATAATCCATAACATGTGCCAGCAACTGGTTTAGTTGTGAGATTGATTCCTAGGCATATAGTGGCAAGAAGATTCATACTGAGGTCATTCTTTTTGGACAACCTGCTACAATGTTGTACTCATCCGAATCCTGATATTAGAGTATATTAGTCCAAATTTTCAACATTCATTCTTGTAAATGTAAAGAGTGTATTCAGAGGAAAACAGAGTGAAAAGAATTGATCCACATACACAATCATATATTCTTGTGTTGTTATCTTTGAATACATAAATGCTCGAATATAGAATGGTTGCATTAACTTCATAAATGAAAAGAATATTATTGCCATGTAATTCTTTTATAATAAGTGTATATTTTTAAAAATTGATGCTTATGTGTGGTTTTTATTTTATCTTACATATTTTTTTAATATATATTATGAGTGAGAATTATTGAAGTAATCTCAAGTTCTGTCGCATTCTAATTTTATTAGAGATGCCAAGGACTGCACTGGTCAAATCTATATATCCATTGTTTTCAATTAAATATTGTACTCTTATTATTCTGAATAACATTTTTTTATACTTTAATTAATAATAAATATTTTACGAGAAGGCTACATAAAATTTGGAAAGCCAGCTGGCCAGGAATAAAATGGGCCGTAAAAGTAATAAATTTGATCCAGCAATTTTGTTACTAAGTGAAATGAAAAGAATTGTTGATTTAGACAATTTGGCTGGGGAAAGGGGGGACAATTCAGATTTTCAGAAGCTCAAACAGGATCAGCAGGTGAGTGGAAAACTGGACATGTATTCAACTAATTCATATTAATCCTTTCGATTTTTATTTTTTTTTTAAAATCATATTCATACTGGGGAATTGAAATGGCAAGTTATTTTTCAGAGGCAACTTGGATTGTCACATTACAAAGAGAAATTTTCCCTGAAATATTTTTTAGACGAAGTATTTAATAGTTGATGAAGTAATTTTTTTAGATAAAGTATCAAATACTCTAAAGTATTTTATGGTTTATTCAAATTTTTAAAATATTTTTTTAGGTGCATCAAATACCTTAATTTAAGGTTTAAAGTATAGGATATTTAGAGTGTTGAACATACTAACAAAATATTTTAAAATACTGGTTAAATCATAAAATACTTTAAGTACTAGACACATCTAAAAAATATTTTAAAATAAAAAATGAACCACTAACTACTTTAGAGTATTCGACGCACTTGGGAAAAAAATACTCTAAAGTAATGGCTTAACCCCTAAAATCATTTTAGAGAACTTGATAAATACTACCTGCGGTCCTTAATATAAAAATTAATTTGATATTCAATTTGATTCTAAATATAAGATTTCAACTCACTTTATCTTTCATATTTAGTTATTTATTTTAAAATAGTCTTTTTGATAGTTGCATATGTTAAAAGTTTCATTAAATGATAGTTCTTGCTAATATACATGATTAGCAAGGATATTTTAAGAAAAATAACAATTATTTATTACAAATAACTAACTGAACAAATTTTTTTTTAACCTATTCAAATTAATTAACTAATTCTTATATTAAAGATTGAGAAATTACCATGGGATGAGTTTCAACAACAACCAAAAAAAGGGGGGGTCACTATCAATCAATGAGATGACAAGCATTCTTAATTGGAATATGTTAAAAAAAAAAAAAAGTAAAGCAGCCCAAGAAGAGAAGATAGAAACAGCCCAATTCCAACATTTGCAATTTGCATGACAAAATGCAGATTTTAGGCCCAAATCAGAGGGAGACAGTGGGAGCGCGGGACGTGCGTGGGTGCGGACTGAAAAATGGAGCGTGAAGTTCGCAGTAGCAATTCCAACCGTGAACGGAGATGTTGAGGGTTTAAGCGCCACCGCCTCCCTCTTGCTTTCCGCTTCCTTTTCAAATTATCTTTGGTTCTCTTCCTGGTAAGACTTCTAGGCAGCTTCCCTTCCCTCTATTCTATATGACTTTCATAAGTTGTCATAGATTTCAGCACTCTCAAGTCTCACTTACTCTGTTGTTTGGAAATTGCATTTTATGATTATTATTTTCCTTTTCCTGGGGCGGTTCTCGGACCATTGTTCATCATATGAATGTGGCTGACAATTGATGGATCTTGCCCAGCTCTATTTCAGTTGAAATGTCTCGGCATCTTTTGTGTTGTTTCGATTTTAAGTCAATTGCTCAAGTCTTTCCTTCTTTCTCAACCGTTTTAGAAATTATATAACAGCTGTGGAGAACTGTTCTAATCTTTTTCAGCTAAATTACTTATGCCGGTGAATTTTTCTTGGGCCCCGCTTTTGATTTGCTGATGTGCTTCTTGGATTTTTGCTTCTATTTTTGAGGTAGTATTGTCAATGGGATGCATTATAGTTTGCTACTGACCTTGTTGGATAACCTTTGTGCCTATTCATTTTTGTGCGTTCAGCTTATCTCAGAGCTTTGATTAATTTTGTATAGCTTCGATCAGAAGAAACATGCTTATCCATTTTGAAAACCTTTTATAAGTTGTTACTTCTTCCAAGTTCTGATGAATGTTAAAAGCTGACAAATTGTATTTGACGATATCTTTACTTCTTATGAATGACTTTTCAACCTAGTGTAAGGCTTTTCTTAATATATATATATATATATATATATGTATATATAATTTTCAAAATTATTGATTAGTTGTGGCATCAAGATAATATCATTGGATTGGCCATGGATTAAACTGGTGGCCGGGCCAGTGACCACTTAATTTGATCTCATTCCAGGTTGTTGATCATTATCTTGTACAAGCCATATTCTTATCACTTCTAAAATATGGAAAACTCAGATACAAAGGTGACAAGTTCATCACCACCACCATTGCTGCCACCAGTAGTCAGAGAAGAGCCAGAGCTGAAAAAACTTAAAATGTCTACCACCACTTCTGATGATGAAGAATGCACTACTACAACTGGGACTAAGAAAAGATACAAGCGCCGCAAAATTGCCATTTTTTTTGCTTACTGTGGTGTTGGCTATCAAGGCATGCAGAAAAATCCTGGCGCCAAGACAATTGAAGGTGACCTAGAAGAAGCCTTATTTGTGTCTGGAGCTGTCCCTGAGCAGGATCGCGGAATTCCTAAAAGGTATGACTGGGCTCGCTCTGCTCGAACTGATAAAGGTGTTAGTGCTGTTGGTCAGGTTGTCTCAGGACGTTTTTATATTGATCCGCCTGGTCTTGTTGACCGCCTTAATTCAAACCTTTCTCCTCAGATACGAATCTTTGGTTACAAGCGTGTCACAGCATCTTTTAATGCCAAGAAGTTCTGTGATCGGAGGAGGTATGTCTATCTCATTCCTGTGTTTGCTCTTGATCCGAGTTCACATCGTGACAGAGAGAGTGTGTTAGCTAGTGTGGGGTCTGAAAATGAGCTTGTTAAATGTGTTGATTGTTCTGAGAGGGGTCGTAAGGTGCCTGGCTTGGTTGGTAAGCACAATACAGGATTAGAAGCTATGGATTCATCCAAAGAAAATCCTGCTCCTAACTCCGGAGTCGCAGAGGATTTTGGGGTTACTTTGAACGAAACTGATGGTGATCATTTAAATAAGAAATCCAGTAGTGAGGGTGAGATTCCAGTGGAGAGTTTGAATTCTGAACTTGAGTCTGTCGTTCCTTCTCATGGTGAGGTCGCTCACATGAATGGTGGATCAATGGACGATTCAAGCTTTGTTGGCAAAGAAAATGTCAATGAAGAGGAGGAGACTATAAAGGGAAGTGGATTCTGTTATGGTGAGAAGGAGCGGGAAAGGTTTAATAGGATTTTGAAGTATTATGTAGGGACTCATAATTTTCATAACTTCACCACGAGAACAAAAGCTGAGGACCCTGCTGCTAAGCGTTTCATAATTTCATTCGACGCTAACACCGTTGTCACAGTTGAGGGCATTGAATTTGTGAAGTGTGAGGTTGTGGGACAGAGCTTCATGCTTCATCAGATACGGAAGATGATGGGTCTTGCTGTAGCAATTATGAGAAACTGTGCGCCAGAGTCACTTGTTGAGAAAGCTTTGCAGAAGTAAGTACCGTCCTGTAGTTTTTATTAGCTTCAATTAATCATATTCATGGACAGTATTAAGTCAGATCTGATTTCATATTTTTTACTGCAGGGATGTTAACGTTAATGTGCCTACTGCTCCAGAGGTTGGTTTATACTTGGATGAGTGCTTCTTTGCATCATATAACCATAAATGGAAAGATAGTCACGAAGAATTGTCAATGAAAGCATATGAGAAAGAAGCTGAAGATTTCAAGATGAAGTATATATATTCTCATATTGCTTCCACAGAGAAGAAGGATGGAGCTGTAGCTCTCTGGTTGCATTCTCTAAACCATAGAAATTATCCAGATCTGCGAATTGTCAATGAGGAAGGCATTACTGATAACAAGAGAGATCAACCGGAAGTTATCAGCTAATGAACTATTTTTCCATAGTACAATTAGAACTCTTGATTCATTATTGATCTGTGCCTATTTATTTTTCCCCCTGTTACCTTTGGCAAGATAGGCTTCGCTTAAACTGGTTGAGAGAGTTCAGACTGATTTTACATAAAAAAACTACAATCTTCCCTAGATGTGGACTGCTTCTTTGTTTATCATTCGGTAGGACTTTCTTTCCTTGTTGTATTCTTAATTTTTCCTTTATTAGCCAATAGGATTTTACTTGCCTATGTCTCTTCGAACATGATTTGGCTTATATGATTTGTGAATCTTGTATCATCCTGTTTGGCTGAGCGGTTAAACGTCCACAACTTACTGTTTTTTTTTTTTTTTAAACCAAAGGCATGTTTGAAAAATTTATGGTGTTTCGGTTAGCAATGTAGCAACCTGGCTTTTACAGGAAAAGCTATAATAAGTTATAAGTAAAAATTAGCTGCTTATGACTTATAGTTTGTGGCTTATTGTTTTTAAAACATAGAGAAAGAAAAATTTAAGAAATTTATTATTCTCTGGTTCTTATAAGCTTCAGATAACTAATTTATGGATAATAAAAAAATTAGTTAAAATTAGTTGAAAATAATAAATAAGTGAGAAATATATTTTTATTTTCAAATATGTCTTTATAATAAATGATAAAAAATAAAAAATAAATATGAGATTAGTAGGAGCTTATAAATAATTTAAAATTACTATATTATGTAAATTGATAGTTTTTTTATTTTTAATTATTTAATACAAGTCATACTCATTTAATAATTTTACAAACTATAATTATTTATTCAATTATAATCCAAACAACTTACTTTCACAAACTAACTTATTTATAAAAGTCAATTCAAATTTAAATCATATTATCCAATCTAACTTTCCTAAAAATTAAATTGAAAATAAAAACAGTATACTATTTTTGACTAAATGTAAGATTTATTTTGTAGTTACACTACATTTAGAACTGAAAAAGTATTTAAGTTTTTGAAGTTTTGATTCACTAATAGTTTAGTTCTCGAAATTTGGTCTTTTGAATTTATCATCATTTTGGTTTTGGTTCCTCAAGTTTATTTTCATTTAAAACATTGATCCTTATAATCCAATAAAAAATTAGATCATTTTACCCTTTGAGGAACTGAAACCTATAGTTTGAAACTTGAAAGACTAAAACTAAAATGCAAGCAAACTTGAGGAACCAAAAATTATATTAACCTTTGTGCTTATCATCTATAACTTATCCTGAGTGAGTTGATGTGGCTTTCAACTCAACTCTACGTAGTTTTTACATAAAATAAAAACAGTAAGATTAAATTGAGTTTCCTTCACCACCCGCGAGAGCTGCAAGTGGAATTGGCATAAGACGCTGTTAGCTTCAAGTTGAAGAATAAATGCAAAGGAAGGAACATGATGGTAAGGATTAAAAAGTTCAAGAATGAAATTACAGGAAGTCAAAATTTAAAAATTAAATTATAATTGGGTTAAAACGATAAAAATAAAATTTTTTATCATGTATGTTTTCTTTTGTTACGTACATGTATTTTTCTATTAAAATCTCTGTAATTGGCCTCACCGTTAGTATCTTTTATGTGTTAGAAAGAAGGGGTGATAAACTCTAATCCCTTTTTTCCCCACCCATTGTGATGCCCTTCCTGAGCCCAACTTGTTTTTTCGGCTTGAGAAAGGCTGTGGCCCGTTCGTTTGGTTCGAAAAGCATTTGGAGGAATCAAAGCGTGAAATAAGAATAAAAATATTTACCAACAGAGTTGAGTTTAGGAGAATGAGTTAATCTCTCACAACATGATGAACTAAGATCCGAATCTTCACTGGGAGAGGTGTCCATATTTAGTACCTGACAATGTCTTGAATAGGATTGCTTCTAATAAGAAGATACCTATGTTTTGACAAAAAAAAAATAAAAATATTTCTAATAAAAATTGGTCCAGATAATAAGAAATCCACTGATAACCTTAATATAAAAATCTTATTATTAGCGGATAATTTGTAAATATTTCTGTAAAGTGTTTTTTAAATCTAGATCTAAATTTTTTTAACAAAAAAACGAAAATATTGAGAGACAATAATTTATAAAAAAAATGAATTAATAAAATTAATTACAAGCCCAATAAAACGCAATCTCGTCCGGGCGAAGAAGCAGATCCATTTTTCTGCTTCGAGAAAAAATCATTCCGTGCTTTCGAATTTGCCGTCGGACGCCGTCCGCCGTTGTTAACGCTAGTTGTTCTCCGTCGTAACATAGGTCCGCCTATGACTGCTGATACGTTGTCCGGTGTGATCTGCATTTCGTGATTAATTTGGTAGCTGGATCCGCTCCAAAATTTCAGTATTTGTTATACTGGGTGAGTTGGGATTAAAACTTGCTCACCCCAGTGTGAAGCCATACGATGATCGGAGCTGGAAAGATCAAGCAGTATAGTAATGTCCTGGAAAAGCCCCTCAACAAGGGCAAGCAAGAGGTTCTTTGTCCTCTTCAATCTACTATTTTTTAATTTTTTTTTGGGTCTGTCCTGCCCTTTAAATTCTCTGGACAATACATTGATTGCTATCGACGCGCCTTGCTTGGCATATAGAATAATAACCCTTTTCTCCCCCTCTTGCCTTATTGAGATCTCATTCTCTGGGGCATTGTGCTTCTGTTCAACCTGTCTGCTGTCCTGGAAAGAGGGAATTTAAGCATCAATTGACCATGCTGAACTCAAAATACGAATAGTTGTTTGGATAATTTTATTGGCATGTGAAGTCCGTTGGGTCTATTTCTATAGTAGTTATATGTAGTTTTGATGTTAGTGCAGGTTAGTTTGAGTGCGTTTGCGTTCTTGTTCTCAGAGCTTGTGCAGTACAATCAAACACAGGTCGACAATATTGCTGAGTTAGAACGAAGGTGATTGCTCTGTGTTAGTACATTCTTTCTTTGTCCATTCTGACGGGATCAATGAAGATAAAGAAACGTGAAGAATATTCTTTTTATTTTTTTTTTTTTTTTGGGGTTAATTTCCCTGTATGATTCTTAATTGGAATCCCTAAATTTGCTTTATCTTATGGTTGTGGAAAGCAGGTCACTCCATTGATAAGGATGATCTCTTCCCTGGTTTTAGCCTTAACTAATGATTAACGCAATATTATGCCTTGTATGATATTATCATAATCGGTCATCCTCTACTTTATTTGCAATTAATGGAGCATGAATAGAAAAAAGATCGAACACCATATGAAGCATAGGATGGAATTAGGCTTCTAACCATACAGTTGATGACTTAGTGTGATATAACAATTGAATCTAATGTCATGCAATTTATTTTGAACATCACAATTAAATGCACCAGACTGGAGGATGCTGGATATGCTGTTGGGGCTCGAGTTCTGGAACTGCTTTGCCATAGAGAAAAGGTATGATGGCTCTTGGAAACTCTTGAATAAAGTTTCATTTCTTCATCTAAATGTATTACAGTAATGATTCAAGTATCTAGCGAATTAGAGCATAACCCAATATTTAGACATTAGGATAAACTAGAAATATGGCTGTCATATGATCCCCTTTTCTAATCGATTTAACACGCATAATGGTCTATTTGGATTTATTGTCGAATACATGTTATATAAAGCTGTTCATTTAATACCTTTATCTCTTTTAAAATGCATAATACTGAGGTCACAGCCTTGGACATGTAAGGGATCCAGTTTGATCATGATTTTCTAATGAATTTGAATGTGTAAGGAAATGGAAAAAGGAATTTGGTGCAATCTTGAATTTTGATGGTTGTGATGACCATCAGTTATGGGATCATTTGTCCTGATGAATCTGGTGTTTTAGCAGCTAATTAGATACCAAATGGTGTTAAACTTGGGTTAAAATCAATCAGTAACTTTATGTTGGCGAGTTTGTTAATTATAATAAAACCTGGGATTATTTTTTATTATGATTAACTACTATGAACCTTGGTAAACTGACAAGTTTAGTGGTAAAATGCCTATCAACATTTTGGCGTTGAATTCTCCAACATGGTAATCTTCATGTTGAATCTCTAGTCTGTTAGAAGTACTTTCCCTAATGACTTTTCTTCTCCTTTATGAGCCTTCTCTATCCCTTAGTCTCATTAACTTTCTCCTCCAAAAATGAGGGAATATGTTCAGAGTCATAATCTTGTAAACATTGCACTGCTTCTAATATCAATTTTGATTTAATAATGTGGATGGGAAAATATTGGATCTTTTTATTAACCGTTTATATGTTAAAACCTTGACACCTTATGTTGGTTTTGGGCTGGGCATAGGGCACAGGCTGGAATGGTCTGTACTTTTGCTTTGCATGAATCATTGATGTAATGGTACTTTTCTGATTCCTTAGGGAAACAGGAGGGAGACAAGATTATTAGGTATTCTGTCTTTTGTACACAGCACAGTGTGGAAGGTATTGTTTGGAAAGGTGAGTTCCTTTATCCTTTTTTACTTTTTCTTCCCCCTTCTTCACCCCAAGAGCAAGCAGTTCCTTCCGATGGACATGAAATGCTAATTGTTGTTGCTATGATATGGTCATTGCAGTTGTGAGGGCATGTGGTTGAGTTTTACATTAATTGTCAGTCGTCAATCTGTCATGTTTATACAGGAATTGTTAACACATTGACACCATATTGCTTTGTGAAAAATGTCTCTGCTTCATAGGCTGTCATTATCTATATGGGCTTGCTCTTTTGATTGTGCCTTTCGATTCGTCCACTTATTCGTTGGAAGATCAGGTATAAGAGACTGGAAAGACATTCAAAACATTGGAAGCAAGTGAAACATTATACTGTTGTTCACTTATACGTGATTACCACTGCCCTTCACATGTGCTTGTGTAAAAAATGGGAGGCATAAGCTAATGACTCGTACATTTCTTGTATGTTTTCACTATACATATATATGTATGTATGTATATTCATTTCCCCACGGATTATACGAGGTCCTCATACATTAGCTCAACTGCTTGGCTGGTCCCTTAGTTGTTGCATTTGCCATTGGAATAGGTAGCGGACTCACTGGAGAAAGGCACTGAACATGAAGATGAATACATGATCAGTGAAAAGGAGCTCCTTGTAAACAGGTAAAAGATTTTTCACTCTCAACAACTTAATTTACAATTACACATAACCAGATGTTGTGTACATAAATTCATAGCAAGGTCTAGTTCTGTCTCTACTTTCTAGATTCATTTCTATTCCGAAGGACATGGGAACTTTCAATTGTGGAGCATTTGTCGCTGGAATAGTACGAGTAAGTACCTTCATGGCTTCATCCATCAATTGACTAGTTGATTGCTAGAGCCTAATGGA